GAAAGCCCCCGCCCCAACCCCCCCTGCTTTGTTCACTCCCCTCCCCGAGCATCTGTCACCGACTCTCAACTCTGTCACTTGTTTCTGTGTCCACTGCCTCACTCCGCCCCCTAAATATCAGCCCCACGAGGGGAGAAGGCTGGTGTGTTTGCTGCTGAGCCGCCGGGCGATGTGCCCGCACACAGTTCACGCTCAACAAACCTTAGCCGCTGCGCGAATGAGCGGGTGAACCATAGCAGTTCCCACCTCGCAGGGGCCGGGAATGAAGCGTGATGCTTATTGGACACAAACCTCGCACGGACGAGCCTCAGTCACTGTGGTTGTTATTATTGTGAGTAATAGTAACGGCTGCGTTAACTAAAGCCAGGAGGTGCCCAGGAAACACCTGCTGACCCTGGTAACCGCGCCTGCCCCTCTCTCCCCAGCCATGCACGGGACCTTCGTGATTCTGCTCCCGCTCAGCCTCATCCTCATGGTGTTTGGGGGGATGACGGGCTTTCTGAGCTTCCTCCTCCGAGCCTCCCTCCTCCTGCTGCTCACGGGGACCCTCTTCCTCTTCGGAGGTAGGTGCCCGCCCTACCTGGGGTTCCGGCTGCAGGAGGGGCTGTGCAGGAACCCCTACAGCCCTGATTGCTTGGCAGCCCCGAGGCTTCAAAGACGGGCTGCAGCACGGGCTGGCTGTTCCCAGGCCTCCCTCCTCCTTAAAAAAGGAAACAACACACACGCTTGGTCCCCGGAGGGAAACAATGAAAGGAATGGGCGGAGGTGGGAAGAGCGCAACCCACGGTGATGGTTAATATTGGCATTAATAGACCGCCCACGACCAAGTCTCAAACCCAGCGCTGCCCCGTTAAACTTTCTGTGATGGTGAAGTCCTCTAACCAGCGCGGTGCAGGGCGGGAGCCGCAGACCAGGCCTCGGAGCTCTGCCACATGGCGGGCGCCAGTGAAGGGCGGAGCTGCTCATTTCAATGAAGCCCGCACGGGACTGGGCAGCACAGCGCTAAGTACTTATCTTTGAAGCCCCTGGAACCCAGCCCATTGGGGCTGACAGACATTAGCTAAGTCATTTCACAAATAAACGCACAATTGAGGTAGCATCTCACACCTGTCAGGATGGCTACCATCAACAAGTCAGCAAATGACAAGTCCTGGCGACGATGTGGGGAAAAGGGAACCCTGGTGCACTGCTGGTGGGAATGCAGACTCGTGCAGCCACTGTGGAAGACAGTATGGAGTTTCCTCAGAAAATTAAATATGGAATTGCCATATGACCCAGTGATCCCACTCCTGGGAATATATCCCAAAAAATCCAAAGCACCAATCAGAAAGAATGTATGCACCCCTAAGTTCATAGCAGCACAATTTACAATAGCTAAGAGCTGGAGTCCAAGTGCCCATCCGTAGGTGAGTGGATAAAAAGCTGTGGTACATCTACACCATGGAATACTATGCAGCAGTAAAAAAGAAGGATCTCTTACCGTTTGAGACAGCACGGAGGGACCTGGAGAGTATCATGCTGAGTGAAATAAGTCAGTCAGAGAAAGACAAGCATCACATGATCGCACTCATGTGGAATCTAAGTAACAAAATAAACTGATGAATGGAAAACAAAACAAAACAAAACAAAAACCCCAAAGCAAATAAATGCAAAACGACAGTTCAGACCTGGGCCATCATGGAGGGCTATGTGGGGGCTGTGAGGCTCAGAACAGACCCGTGAGCTGAGATATGGGGATGGAGGGGAGGTAAGTGATGGCATCAGGAAGGGAATGGAAGGGAAGGGAAAGGAAGGGAAGGGAAGGGAAGAGAAGAGAAGGGAAGGGAAGAGAGGGTGCATGGAGCAGAGGGACTGGCCCGGGCAAAGGCCCTGGGGTGGAAGGAGGGCACGCTGGGAGAGGGCAGGGTGGCTGGGCCGGGAGGAGGAGGCCGGCAGGGTTAGATCTGCTCTCCTCTGTCCCCCGCAGCCCTCGTCACGCTCGCCGGCATCAGCATCTACATCGCGTATTCGGCCGCCGCCTTCCGGGAGGCGCTGTGTCTGCTGGAGGAGACGGCCCTCCTGGACCAGGTGGACATCCGCTTCGGCTGGTCCCTGGCCCTGGGCTGGGTCAGTTTCATCGCCGAGCTGCTCACCGGGGCAGCCTTCTTGGCAGCGGCCCACGTGCTCAACCTGAGACGGAGGCAGGACCAGGCCATCTGAGTCTGGAGGCCGGGTGGTGGTGGGAGGGAGGCTGGCCTGGGCCTCAGGGGCCCATCTTGGTGGGCTGTGGTCTCCTGTTCCACAAAGACCACTAGGGGAGGTCAGGGGCCAACCCCAGGACGCTGTGGCCTGAGCTCTGGGCCTGCTGTCCTCTCAGCGCCTGTGCTGTGTGCTGTGTGCATGCGGCCGTGTGTCCAGTGGGCTGGAGGAGGCCGAGGGAGTTAGGACTGTGACAAAAACAAACCCTTAATCATAAACAGAGCATTGCAGACTGCAGCCTCTGTGCACCTGCTCTGGTTTCATTTCATCCTCACCGCAGCCCGTTGGGTCAGTTCCTCTTCTTTGGTAAGGACATGGAAGACCAGAGAGGTTAGGTGAGTTGCACAAAGGTGCACAGCAGAGCTAGTGGCATATTCCTCCTTCTGAAAAAGTGCTCAATCCTTTACCACAGCTTTTCTGAGCAGGTTCCCGCCTGGACATGGTTACCGTGTGGGACTCAGACATGTTAACTGGCTGAGGGTCCTGGAGAGAAAAGAATACGACGGGACTGACATTCAGCTCTGCCTGATTCCTAGATGATTGTCTTTCCACTTCTGCCACTGCCTACCCAAGCATGTCAAACTTGTGGCCCACGGGCCGCATGCCTCATTTATTTGGCCCGTGTTAGCCTTTGAGTTTGACATGCTTGGCCTACACCACCCACTTTCTATCTGTGTTTGGGTTAGGACACAGCTGCTGCTTCTTTTCTGTTTAGTCTGGAGAAGTGTAAAGTGGGGGGGAATGCCCGCAGAACCCCACCTGGGTGAGTGAGCAAGGTTGCAAAATCAGTTACCAGGCTGGGGAAAAAAAAATGAAAAAATTTTTTTTGCATTAAGTGAGGGCAACCTTGCCAATGAAAAGGCGGTCTTTTCTGCCACCTGCTGGTCATATGGTGGAACTGCGTCAGAGGCAGGACTTCAAAATATTTGTTTTCAGCGTGTCCAGCAGTGAATGGGGCAAATGCAAGGCAGGGGTTCTAGACTGGGGATGAGACATTTGACACTGTCTAGAGATAGTTTTGGTTCTTACAACTGGGGATGAGTACTACTCGCATCTAGTGGGTGGAGGCCAGGGAGATGCTAACATCCTACAACTCACAGGACAGCCCCACAACAAAGAATGACCCAGTCCCACATGTCAGCAGTGCCAACATTGAGGAATCCTGGTAGGGGAACGAAAATGAATAAAAACAGAAGAAAACGTG